TTTATAAATAATAGGCCTACTAGTTTTTTGCCACATGTCTGTAAGTAGAATGATCTAAAAGGGGACCTTTCCTATTAGGAAAGGAGATCTTTATGTCATCTATTAAGGGAACACCATTGGGATTTTGCCATGTGTCAGAGATCCTTTAAAGACAAAATTTCCTTTTTCTTAAGGATTATTATGTGGTATGTGTAGGCTACATTCTCTTACGGGTTCCCTAGTGGCCACATGTTAAAGGACAAGATCTGATTGGTGATGCTATCGCAAATCTCAAGCGACGCCCATTGTTCACATGGGTCTCAAGAAGTGTTTTATGCTCATTGCAAGTCTTGGCTGGCCTTCTGTACTTATCATAAATCCCGAGTAGCTTTTAAGCTCATTGCAAGTTTACAATGGTTATAAGCCCATCGCAAGTTTTGGGAGATTCCATGTGTTATTAGATTTGTGCTCGTGACCTTATTCTGACATCTGCAATGTAATTGGGGTAATAAAGAATTACATGTATTTACAGATATAATGAGGTGAATGGTAATGATTAATTGTGTTAATTTGATTTTGATAATTTGCAATGTGTTTAATTACTTTTGTAAAAAATAAACGGGGACAAAATCATATTAAATGAGCTTAAGGGGGTGTTCTTTATTGGACTTTGAGAGGGGGGAAAGTAGGTCAATGGGATTTTGGTTCCCATTGACCAAGAATCTCATGTTCATTTTTTAGATTTATGTGGGGACCAGGGAAAGTTTATTTTCCTAGGTATCATGGGTAAGTGATACCCATCTCTTAGGTGGATAAATATCTTTTCCACCTAGGGGGAAAGTTTTTCTAACACTTGAATGGAACAAAAATGCCCCTTTTAATAATGATTTTTTATGGCTAAAATGGTCATTACCTTATTTACCTAGGAAATTAAAGAACATGGATAAATACACTTACCCAGGTAAGTGTTTCCTAAGAAAAACTTACCCAAATAATTGCATTTACCCGGATAAGTAACTTACCAAAAACAAACGGGGCCTAAGAATAATAAAATTGGGACATAGGGAAGTTAATTGTACTAATTTAACATAATAATTTGTAGCATATTTGTATATGTTATTTAATACATATTTATATATGTTATGTGGCCTGGCCTACCCCAACCTGCACATATTTATATATGTTATTCATAAATAATTATTTTATGTTATTCTAAAATAATATGTTCCCCCACCTTACATGGCAAGAATTATACTAAAAGAAAGGAGGTGTAAATTTTGCACCCGTTTTTGAGATGCTAAACTAATTGGCCACATAACCAGGTTCACAAACTTGTGTTCACACCAAATCCAAACTCAGAGAAAACAACCACCAACAAAATTAAACTTCCACAAATAAGAGAGAGAATAACAATTCCAAACCAAACAAAATAAAGTCATTCACAACCCCACAACTTCAACAAACAACACCATAACCCACTCTCATTCTGCCTTTTTGCCCTAGCTACCAAATCTACCTTCATTATACTTTTGCAATCCACTTATCCATGTAAGGGGGTGTTCAATTTTGGATTTTGAGAGGGGGGGGGGGGAAGTTGGCATTGGGATTCTGAATCCCATTGACTAAGAAACCCACATTCTGTTTTTATATTTATATGGGGACATCACTTACCCAGCCATCTCCTTGGTGGATAAATAATTTTACCACCTAGGGGGAATTGCCAATACTTGGATGGGACAAAAATGCCATTTTTAATATTGGATTTTTATGGCTAAAGTGGTCATTGTTTTATTTACTTGGGAAATAAAAGAACATGGGTAAAATGCACTTTCTGGGCTTACCCAGGTAAGTAACTTGCTAAAAAGTGAACAAGACCTAAATATCCACTAATTCTCTAGTTTTCTTGCAACCTAGGATACCACGACCAAGATAATATGCCTCATGTTAAACGTTTGCTTGTTTTAGAGAATACACTTCATTCTCTAGTGATTGGAAAATGCCCCTTCTTCTCTCTTTTCACCCCTTACAAAGAACAACCTTGCAATTATTCATAGGTAGTAGGGGTGGATTCGAGTTGAACCAAGCCGAATACTTGGCTTTTTGAGCTCGGCTCACTGAAACTGTGTTAGGCTTGAGCTCGAGCTTGGCTCGGTTCAAAGCTTGCAAGTTCGAGCTCGGCTCAACTCGAGTTCAATTGCAAGCCAATCTTTTTTTTTCTAAAATATAAAAAGTATACATATAAAAATATTTTTTATTTTACATAGAAAAATAAGAATTATAAAAATTATTTACTAGTATACATAAAAATAAAAATATTATACATAAAATATTATTATATAATAAAAATTATTTATTATATATATGTATATGTATATGTATATGTATATGTATATGTATGTATGTATGTATGTATGTATGTATGTATGTATGTATGTATGTATGTATGTATGTATGTATGTATGTATGTNTGTATGTATGTATGTATGTATGTATGTATGTATGTATGTATGTATGTATGTATGTATGTATGTATGTATGTATGTATGTATGTATGCATGTATGTGATGTATGTATGTATATAATAAAAAATTATTTATTTATTATATTAGGCTTGCGAGCCTCATGAGCCGAGTTTTACTGGGCTCGAGCTCGGTTCAATTAGCAAACGAGCCTACATATTAGACTTGAGCTTGGCTCAAAGCTCGGTTTAAACCGTATGGGTGTCAATGGACTGAGTTTGGGATGGTGGGGTCCCATTCAAAATGAATTTAAACAGGTTGGAGGGACCAATAAGACATATTGAATTAGACTAGTCTAGAATTAATGGTCCAAAGTATTTATTGGATTGGATTGAACCTGGTTCATCTGTAATGGGTTTATGTTGGATTGGATCGGATTTAATGGGTTGGATCCAATCTAAATTAAAACCAACTTGAACAGATTGGACCGTCCAAATATTGAATTGGACAAATCCAGAATGGTCCAAAGTATACCGGATTGGATTGGACCTGGTCCATCTGTAATGACTCGTATTGGACCAGTATCTGGTCCATTGGCAGTCCTACTCATAGCCATAGGGTATCATCTTCCACCCTCTTCTCTCTAATAATGGTTGAATGAACACTCCTAAACCAGAGTGGCCACGGGACTCTGTCTAATGAGAAAACTCACCCACTAAGAGAGGTATCTCTCTCATATTCTGTGATAACTTTGACACCTCTGAAGGCGAAGCAGCTAGACTGGGCATGTTGCTAACACCTCTCTGCTCTCTCGTCCATGCTCTGATGCTCAACTTCTCCACGGTAGCATCTTTCTTACAAGAAAAATTAAGCCTCACTGCTTTATAATGCCTCTAGACCGATATAACACCTTCATTATGAAGCATCGTACAATGGGCCTTATCATACCTAGGGCCCAAATCCTGTTTCAGCCTCTCCCATACAAAAGTTGCTGGGACCAAGGAGGCTTGGATTTGACTCGTCGGCCCACCCCTAATACCACTAAAAGCCCATTTGAGTCACTTCGGAGCAGCTACAAATAGCTTCACCGGAAAGTGGATTTCTTGGTTCATATAAACATATTTCTGACTTTCTGGCTAGAAGCTGCTCGTGAAAGGCCTCCCACTAAGACCCAGTTTGGGATGGCTTCTGCATTTGGATCACATTGCATTAACTGAGCCGTGATGGTTGAGCACCTGTGTTCCAGAGAAGCTAGCTTTATATTACAGTTGCACTTCTGGCATTGGAAACCCAATATTGGCTTTCTGAATTTTCACCAAAAGCGGCTTATGCAGTTTACATGTCGGGCCCAGCTCAAAGTGCTATAAGCCGCATACCGAAGCCCTCCCAAACAGGCCGCACTAAGGGTTCATCCACATCTGACCCCTGCTGACCTAAAAAGACCCCTGACGGAATACCATAAAAACTATAGAAGAGTTGACGTGACTGATCTCAAAGACAACCTTCTTCTTTGAAGAGGGATTGACCATGGCTTTCAGCAAAAAGCAAAGTTTGCAGATTCTAACGCAAGGAGCGTAGATGCAATAGCTGTCACAAATTTACCAAGAAAAAAGAAAAAAAAGGGAGAAAATGGGGATAATTCGAATATTAGTAGAGATATAGATTTGGAGAGGGCTTGACCATGAAATCTGCTTTGGTTCAAGGCCTAACCTAAATGCTTATATATACGACAATATTGAATTCAAATCATAAGAAGAATCCTTGAATTCTTGACTGGTTCTACGTACTAATTAATGCTTTTATCCTTAAATATAATTCTGCTTGTTTGCACCTTATTATTGAGGATTCCGTTTGCCTTTTTTCTCTCGTTATTTAATTTCCAATGTTCTCATGATCTTTTACAAGTAGGGTATCCCTTAATTGTATTTGAGAGGAAACTCAATTCCAAATCAAGTCTAAATCAAAACTGAATTAAGAAAGAAGGAAAAAAAGTAAAGATTGAAGGAAAGTAGGCATCGCCATTAGTTTAGCAATGTTATGGGCGAGCTGATTGGATTCTATGAGCTTATGTTGTCAGTAAATCAAACCAGTAGATCTGTTTTTGAACCTTTTCCCCAAGTGATAGTGACCGTTCCCCCAATTTTTAATTTAATAGGAAAAAAGAAAGGAGCATATTAAGAAAAAGATAAAAGGGCCTAAGGAGTAAGGTGGAGGGGATCACTTTACCTGTCCTCCACCATGCACCTTGCATAAAGACTTTGGGTTTCGTTAGTTCTAGCTAGTTATATATTCTCTGTATCTCTTCTTTACAGAATGGTTTTCTTGCATAAAACTTCTGCATCTCTTCTTTACAGACTTCTGGGTTCTTGAGTTCTAGTTCTCTGTATCAAATAAATGATAAATCTCCACAAAATGGTTTTCTTGATTGGAAAGAAATTACCTAATTAAACTGATTTCCTGTGTGTTAGAAATCACTTTCCAAGATTTTTTCTCCTGTTCTGATCAATAGTGTAGTGATCCTTGACCCTTATACTGACGGGTCCAAGCTTCTCTCTATAAAAGAGAATTTATAGCAAGACATGAGAGCACCTAGACTGTTATAAGCTCCCTCGGATATAATTGGTGGACGATGTTGACCATCTACACTGGTCGGATGTATTAAAAAATAGTCCACCCATTGAAACCTCAAACCAATATCCTAGAAACAGATCATCAGAGGCAACCTTTCCTTTATAAAACCTCCATGAACAGAATGGTAGATACTAAACGAGAGAGGGAGAGAGAGAGAGAGAGAGAGAGAGAGAGAGAGATCATGGGTAGTGAAGCTGATGAACTGCACATTGCCTTCCTTCCATTCACGGCACTAGGCCACCTGATTCCCATGGTAGACATGGCCAGAGGATTGGCAGCTCGTGGAGTTAAGGTTACTATAATCACCACCCCACTCAACGCTCTTCTCTTCCAGAATTCCATCGACCGTGACATCACTTCCGGCCACCCAATCCAACTTCTCACACTTCCACTCCCTCCCATGGACTCCCCCCTCCCCGATGGCTGTGAAAATATAAGCACCACCTCTGCCCCATTCCCAGAAACCTTCAACAAACTCTTCCAAGCCTTGTCACTGCTTCAACAACCCCTTGCTCAGCTCTTTCAACACCTTAGATTTCGTCCTCATTGCATAGTCTCAGATCCACTCCTTCCTTGGACCACTGACTTCGCCAATCAACTCGGAATACCAAGAATCATCTTCCACGCCACCAACTTCTTCTATCACTGCGTCTCAGAGAGCTTGGTTCGTTACCAAGACAAAATCCCGCCTGATGGAGGAGCTTTCCGAGTTCCAGGCCTCCCAAACCACATAAGTTTCTCAAGGTCTCAACTCCCAGACCCCATCAAAGTCCAAGCCGAGTTCGGAGAGATCTTCAACAGCGTCAGAGAAGCTGAATTAAGGAGCCACGGAGCCGTAATGAACAGTTTCTACGAGTTGGAACCGGCTTACATCAATCACTATCGGAATACTTTAGGAAGAAAAGCATGGCACATAGGCCCTGTGTCTCTCTTCAACACAGAGAAACTCGACAGAGAAGCTAGCAACAGTAAGGCCTCTATTGACCAACTCAAGTGTTTGAGCTGGCTCGAGTCTAAAGAACCCAACTCGGTTCTTTATGTTTGCTTTGGGAGTATAACCCGATTCACTGCTACTCAGTTACTGGAGATTGCATCTGCTCTGGAAGCATTAAGCCACCCCTTCATTTGGGTTGTCCCGAGAGTGGCAAAACCAAGGGGAGAGATGGATGGTGAGTTCTGGTTGCCCGAAGGACTCGAGGAGAGAGTTACGAAAGGACCGCAGAAAGGCTTCATCATACAGGGGTGGGTTCCCCAGGTCTTGATCCTTGAACATCAAGCTGTCGGTGGATTCATGACTCACTGTGGATGGAACTCGGTTCTTGAGAGTGTGAGCTCGGGTGTCCCGATGATCACTTGGCCACTCTTTGCAGAGCAATTCTATAACGAGAAGCTTGTAATAGAGGTGCTTAAGGTTGGCGTTAGCGTCGGTGTTGAGGCTTGGAATTCGTATATGACTGATAAGGCTATCGTGGTGGGGAGAGAAGATATAAAACAGGCGGTGAGTCGAGTCATGGGTGGTGGAGATGAAGCCCGGAGGATGAGAAGATGCGCGCAGGAGCTTGGAGAGATGGCCAAAAGAGCTGTTCAAGAGGGTGGGTCCTCTTATGCCGACATGACTGCTCTGATTGAGGAGCTCATGACATTCTGTAAGAAGTAAGCATTTTTGTTGATGCTTACTTGTATGTTTATACGTTAAATCTTGTTTCCAATACACTCTCTGTCTGGTTTCTTTTGTTTTGGATATTTTCACTATGAGAAGGTAGTAAAGAAGTACAAGCTAGCTAGGCCAACAGATATATGAAACCATGTCATTTGTCAACAGAGATCTGCATGTAATAGATAGAACTAATCTGAATCTGAATTCATGCAAGATTTTTACACGTGGCAGTGAAGAGGAATCCAATATAGAACCATGTGATTTGCCACACCCACAACCACAAACAATCTGCTTCATCTATTATATATTCTTCTTAAGCTAATACATCTGCTGCACCCCATGGTTGCAGAACGTTCTTGCAACCCCCACTAACATAGATGGGCCAGTAATTGTGTTTGGGTTGGTTTAGCAAATCTCTCCTTATTGATGATTCAATACAACAATTTGTCCATTAGTCTACATAAGCTGGCTTGCTTTACTTGGTCACCATTACTTGCTTCAACAATCCTTGCTGATGGGCTTAATGGGCCTAGGTTCTTGGGCCGGGATTATTCAAGTTTAAACAAATGCTCAACCTAGTAAGCTTGCCCAAGCCCAAGTTGTATCACTGGCCCAACCATGACCGTAGAAAACATAACCCTAACCCAAACACAAGAATCTGATTTTTCAATTTTCATAATCTGGTCAGTTGGATCAGGTTAGCCTAATAAATGGATGAGAAATATATCAAGTCGTGATTTGTTAGCTCCATTAAGTGTTGCTGGATACCTAACGTAACAAAGTCTTCTCGTGGATCAGGTATTTGTGTAACAAATGTTTTCTCTTCTCCCCTTCATCTTCTCAAAGACGATCCCCTTCGGTAGTGATGTTGCAGAACTTTAATGGAGGACAATGATGCATTCATTGCACTTGGGTAACCAGAAACGTATGCACCTTAATGGAACAAGCAGATCTGGACCCAAAATTAGGGGTGCAGCTTGGGTGGGGCTTTTATGGACCCAAGCTGAAGGCCCGACCAGAAACAATATTAGGGATGCATGCAACTTGGGCTAGCACAAGTTAGTATTTTATATTGCCATAAAAATAATAAAAAAAAGGTTAACATTTTATATTGTTTCAGGTTGGGCCTTCAGGCCAGGCCCATTCAAATTTCGACAAAAGCCCAACCAGATCCCACCCAAGTTGCACCCTATTCTATTCAAAATTATCAATATTGTTTTGGGTAAATTTCTTAAACTATCCTTATGGTTTAGCTAATTGACTAAGTGTATCCTTACTATTTTCAAATTGACTAATGCTAACTCTACTGTTTCTGACAATTGACTAAGTCTATCCTTAACTACCCTTATGGTTTAGCTAATTGACTAAGTGTACCCTAACTGTTTTCAAATTGATTAATGCTAATCCTACTGTTTCTGACAATTAACGGAAAGTTAACATCACATCCGTCACATATGATATCATGTAACTAATATTGATGGTGTGCAATCCGGTCACTCTTAGCTGGCACTTGCGTGGTTCCTAAAAGGTACCTGAGATGGAGAAGATGAAGAATCCCCGGGGGCTTACCCGGTAGGAATACTCCGACGCTTAAGTTAGAGTTCTATGGAAGATGAAGAAAGCTAAGAGTGCAGATAGCGCGAGTATATGGAAGTTACCTCTGTCCTTTGGGATTGGGCTAATTATAACAGAACTCTGTCGAATCAGGCCCACCTGCCTCTGACAGGGTAGGTATAACCGCCACTGTCGTCCTGCCGTAGCCGTTACAGCCAGGGCTGAGGCGGCACGTGCGGGGCCGTCCTTGCAGGGTATGTACCTGTTAGGTGTAAGACACCTTCTAAAGGTGGCGGGCATGACACTGTCTGACGAGAGACGTGGGTGCAGTCTCCAGGTTTGTCGGGTATGGTGGTCGGGCAGGAGGCCTTCCTGTGATGTGCCGAACTGCTCTTCTGCGAACTACCCTGTACCGAGCTACCCTGCAAGTGGCGAGCTGCCTGTGGCAAACTGCACCGAGCTGTCTGGCCCGAGGTGTCTCTACCTCGGGGGTATCTAGAGGCAGATCGTGGTGTTCCTATTTGAGAGTGGCCTAAAATCCACTGGGAGGAGCTCGGGCATTAGAAAAGGTCAGGGGGCCCCGAGCACAGAGGTAGCTCGGAGTGCCTCAGCCTTGGGAAGGAGGTGCAAGCCAGGCGGTTCTCGGCGAGTAGCCTAACCCGCAGAGTTGGCAGACTCAACTCGGTGAGCCCTTCCCACCGAGTAGTGGTTGCGCTTGCTGTGCTGTCATGCTGAGTCATCGCTTGAGCAAGGTCACACCCACGTGTACCCATGCTACGAGGTCGGGCCAAATCACCCTCCATCAATTGCCCCCCACTCCCTGTGCTGGCGGTGTTGACCCAATGCAGGGAGTTCATGACGCGCCGGGTGGATTTGGCTTCAGTACTCATGCCACTCCGTCGTGCGCTTCGCCTAACTGGACCGGTCCAGTGCCCAACTCGATCAAAAGAAACCCGGGTTGCATTCGGTTTACGCGCAAACGTCACACGATTTGGACTTCGCGGATGCCAAAAAACACGCTAAACTAATTTCACCTTGAGGAACCCGTAGCTGATTTCTTTGAGAGCCATTGGATCATCTCAATCTTGACCGTTAGCACCCAGATGCAGTGGCTATAAATAGTGGGGGACCCTTAGTCATTTCTTCACCACAAAGTCTTCAACGTTAGTATTGAGCTCGCGTCTGAGATTCCTAGTTCGGGTTTTCTAGCTCGGTTATTCCCTTAGTTCGGTTCACGTTTCCTGCGGTAAGTCCCCGAGCTTCCTTTTCTTTTTTGAACATTCTTTCCTTTCCGCGTTATCGTGTCGTCTAGTGTAGATAGCCTTATCGACGAGCCCGAGGTGGGTACCTTGGCTCAGGGTGGCTCTTCTGCCACCCAGCCGTCCGACGTACAGGCGACTTCGGGTCATCTGGCATCCACCTCCCACCGAGGTCGGGTGCCAGATCAGTTCAACCCTTCCACCATGACTCCGGAGAGACTTCAGGACCTCATTCAGAGGTTCCACCTTCCTGGGGAGTACTCTTACAGTCTTCCTACCGGCAGCTTTCCATGGGAGCACGGTCCCGATGAGATCGTGGTCTTCAGGGAGCAACTGGTCGCCGGACTCCGTCTTCCTCTTCACCCTCTGATTGTTGAGGTGCTGGTGCACTTTAACATTACCTTGGACCAGCTTCATCCGAATTCCATACGGAATGTGGTT